GTTTCAGAGGTCATACTGCCTCCGTCATCAGAGTATGAAGATTTCTGTCTTCTGGGTTGTTGCGCTGTGTAGTCTGGTAGATGTTACCCAACGTTTCGGAGGTCATACTGCCTCCGTCATCAGGGCGATGGTTGATTAACATCGACCAGACAACACAGCGCAACAACCCAGAAGACAGAAATCTTCATACGTAATTTATGTTTGATTTAACTACATGCCAGAGACAATGTAAGACCACGGATAATCCGCTCCACAGGTAATTGGCCACCAGATAATCCGCTCTCTACCGTATATCACTATATGACTTCGGGCTTCATTCTACTACCTGGGAACGACCCTGGAGCAGCGCATCTCTTCAACGTTGCCTCAATCTTGTGTCAGCGTTGAGAGTTGAGATGTTTACTTTGCTTATCGGAAGTCCCAAAACATTACCTGAGTGCTGTAACCCACCATTTCTCCTCCCACGATTCGCTGGTCCGGGCACCACCCACAGCCCACACCCGTTGGCAGAGGCGCCATGAGAGTTAACCTGACTTCATGCCTTTGCAATGGAAAAAGAAGGAAACTTATTACATATTCGTACGCCTTCACGCTGCAGAACTTATGTTCCTCAATTAGAAATAGAAATTATCGTTTTCACAAAAACTAGTTAAGTCCACGCTCCCATGCTATACTTCTTCAATGTCTACTTTAATATTATCCTTTCATTTACGTCTAGGTGTCCAAAATAGCCTCCTTCCTTTACTGTGAAATTTACAGATGTTTCAGACGTGTTTTCTGCCTCCATCATCAGAGTGATAATCGCCTTGATGATGGAGGCAGCAAGTCCCTCTGAAACGTAGGCAAACTTCTATCAGAATACATGGCGCTACAACCCAAGAGACAGTCATCTTCACAGTAGCAGCCGCGAGAACCTCAAATACTACGTCCTTTATTGTTTTAAATCTCTGGTGGATACATGCTTGCTCTTCTGGGCAAGAGTAGGCTTATTGCTGTTTTGTGTGCTTTGAGTTGATGCCTTGCATACGTACTGTGCTGTTAGTGTGAAGGGCTCAGAGTATCACAATAACGTTAAGCCCCTGTTTCCTTAGTGTGATTACAATTTCATCATAGAACGCAAGCCCGCAACACATTTCCGAGCGATTACCCCAGTTTTCGTACAATACAGTGTGTTTGTAAATTTACGGTGAGCTTCTCAGTCTTTACTATTTTGTAACAATTGTGTCTTAAATATAAAATGTAAGAGAAATAGTGAAAGATCATTTGTGTTGTTGGTGAAATCGAAAGTCGTACTGTAAAGTCTTATCTGTATTTCACATTCTTGCTACACCCGACTTAAAAATATCAGTAATATATTCAAATGGTCCTGTCGCGACTCGGCACCAATTCCTTTGCAAATTCCTACAAATGCAAGTAGCAAAGTGAAGTCCGGAGACTGAGGTGGCCAAAGCTTCCGATCTTCCTTGTCTAATTCACTACTCTGGGAAAACTTTTACTTAGACCCTACGAATAAAATCTGCACAGGAATTTCTGTCAGAACAGGTTGAAAGACTGTACTATTGTTTGTTGTAACACGTAGGTCCAGTATGATAAGAGACTGTAAAGAAAAGTACAAATTCTTTACTGAGAGTTGATGAAGACTGACGATGTTATAAAAATAAATAAATAAATAAATAAACCCAGTGACAAACATTCGCCGACGTCATGCTGAAATTCAAGGTTCCGAACGATTTAATCTTGTAAGGTTTCCATACCATTATTTCCATCTACATAAAAACAGATAACTGTAAAATAGTAATGTTTAATCAGGCATTTTAAAACAGAAATTACTCACTTTTCTAGTACCCAAAAGCTCATCATCATATCCACAACAGACTGGAACTGAACCACTCCCTGAGTCTGGTCAATCAAGTATAATCATTCACATCTTATTTTGTAAGACCCATTTTAATATTATCCTCCCATCTACGCCTGTGCCTACCAAGTTTTGTCATATTTTCAGGCAACACATTTCTTATGTCTCCCATGCGTGCAACATGTCTCACGTATCACATCCTCCTTCATTCGTCCAACGTAATTGGTTTTCGTCAAGAGTACAAATTATGAAAATTTCTCATTACGTAATTGTCCCACGATCGTATTACTTTCCACCTACATTCATATATTTTCTCTGAAGATGATAATGATGACACTAAAAACACAACACCAATTTTTATCCCAGTGCTATTTTACCCACTGAAACGCATACAAGAACGGGAGTTGAAAGCAACATTCGATACTGGGCCAACAGATTCAAATCCCTGCGCATTTAACATTTCCCACACCTCACTAAGTCTACAGCCCTTATTTAAGCCCTAGGCACTGGAGGATCGTAAAACCTTTTCTGAGGTTAGTCTCACTTGGTTTTACCAGTATACTGAGTTCCACCGTTTTTGGCCTCTGAACTTAGTGAATTGGAACCTCGGAGCGAGTCACTTACCAGATGATTGCTGGAAGGTATGGCAGAAGGCCGCGTACAGTACACTCCAAATAAAATATAAACATGGTATGTAACACAGGAAAGTCGACTTCATTACACTACACACCACTAGAAAATTAACACTGCAGAGAGTATTAGATAATATTATCTTCTTCACAACTTCTCGGTCCTCTTACAATTTTTCCACACCTCACAGACCATCGCTTTCTGACATATCACTCGATTCATTAAAACCTCTTATGCTGTCCACTACAATAATATTCAATTATATATATTAGTGACAAAGCGTGACTAGGCGTGAGCTCCTGTGAAAGCGTGACGAGAGGACACCCTAAGTGTTAAAATATGACCAACATCTTAAAAGCGTGACCAAGTGTGACAAATCGTGACTACGCGTGACGTACTGTAACGGCGTGACGAGAAGTTGCCAGAAGTGTCGAAAAGTGACGAATTCTTACAAAGCGTGACCTACTGTAACGGCGTGACGAATTGAGGCTTAAGTGCCAAAACGTAACAACATTTTTCAAAACGTTACCTAACCTAACAAAATCCACCTAACAAACTTAACCTAACCCAACCTAATCTAACCTAACAAAACCTAAACTAATCTAACCCAACCTATCCTAACCTAACCTGACGTAACTTCATCTAACGTATTGCAAAGCAGCAAAAATTTACCGAGCCGTACGTGACATAACGTAAGCGTGACGAAGTGTGACTTATTGACCACACGTGCCCAAGCGTGACCAGGCGTGACATGCTTTGACCTCTTGAAAAAGATCACCATGTGTCGAAATGTGAAGATTTACCAAAGCGTGACTAAACGTGACCAAGCATGACAAAGTGTGACTAGGCGTGACCTGCTATAAAGGCGTGACGAGAGGTCACCTTAAGTATTAAAATACTACGAAGATTTGAAAAGCGTGTTTAAGCGTGACTAAGCGTTCTCACGCGTGACAAAGCGTGACGTACTATCGTGTTTAAGCGTGACTAAGCGTGCTCACGCGTGACAAAGCGTGACGTACTATAACGGCGTGACGAGATGTTGCCAGAAGTGTCGAAATGTGAGGAATTATTACAAAGCATGACCAAGCGTGACAAGGCGTGACTAGGCGTGACGTACTGTAACTGTATTGTGGCTGTAAGTGTCAACGTCAGAAAATTTTCAAAACGTTACCTAATCTTACAAAATCCACTAAACAAACTTAAACTAACCTAACCTAACCTAACCCAACCTAACTTTATACATGGTACAGGGAATGATATACTAATAATCACAGGGCGTCAAAATAAAGATATGATTGGATATATTTAAACTATTTTAATTCATTGCAGTAACACGTTTCAAATGTAACGAGTTGTTCATTCTGAACACAAATTATGTTTATTTCTCTCTATATTCAGGAGCTTTCTGAATAAATAAGAACTGAAAGTAGGAATATTTTTGATACAATTAAATGTAGGGCCAGTGCGTGGAACGCCTATTGAATGACAGTCGAAATAAAGCTTTAATCCAAGCGGCGATGA